CCCCCCCCTTGCAGCTGGAGTTCCAAACCTGGCCATGGTTCAGGGTGTAGATAATGAGAAGGTAAAGACTTAATCCAATTCTATTATATTTCTAAAAGGTAAGATTTCTTTCATTTTTATTATTGTGAAGCCTTTTTATTGAACAAGAAACTTATTCATATAATGAGACGGAATATTATTGATGAAGCTTAGTTGTATCACTTTTGGCAGCTTGGCTTTTTGCTGGGTATTATTGTACGTGCTGCCTTTAAAAATGGTACTTGAAATGTGATATTGATCTCCATGCATGACAATAAACTACTTGTGGCTCCTATTTTTGGTTAAAAAATAACTTTTTACTATGCATGAACAATGTAGTTGGCAAAATTTATGGTTTTTTTCTCCCAGTAAAGAGCTGAATTTTCAGATGTTCTTAAGAAAAAAGGAAGAAAGATGCTTAAATGTTCTGTCACTTTTAAGATTACTTGATGTGGTCCTGCTGCTGCAGCTTGCAAATCATCTCGATCGTGCAGTTTCAAACCTCAGGAGGGATCCATTGAAGGTTCTAGTCCAAGTAAACACGAGTGGAGAAATATGTGAGTTGCACAGTTCTTTGATGTTTTTCTGCAAGATCATTCTTATAATTAGTTGAATAAGTCCTTGGATAACCATTCTCCCAGAAAACAAAGCCATATTTGGAACCCGGGGGGGATTTTATGTCTTGGATTAAAATTCTATGTATATGTAAAATCATATTTCACTGTAGTCTAATGAACATTTAGTTTCACGAATAAAGTAATTTTCTTATCCGCTCTTGTTTTTTTGGATATCTTTACTGTCTTAATAACTTTGTCTACGCTTATAAAATTTCACATGTAACAATTTTCTTTCTGTCAAACTTACACCCAATGAACCTTGATGCTTTTCCAAGCCTCAAGATTGAACTGTAACAGTTTATGTTTTATTCTTAAATCATAAATGATCTATTTCCGTTTGGATTTACATCCTAAACAAATGAGTATCTAGAAAATGACTTGTGTGACAATTTGGCAGCTAAATCTGGGGTTGAGCCTTCTGGATGCATCGAACTTGCAAAGCATGTGAAGTTGCGTTGCCCACATCTTGAATTTTCTGGCTTAATGACAATAGGGATGCCAGATTATACTAGCACTCCAGAGAACTTTAAGGTTATATAATGTACTCTTTTCTTTTTTTGGTTAGATATTTTTACTCTACAGTGGAAGGTTTGTACCCTTTTAAAGGGAAGAAAAAAGGGTTTAATCTATATATATATTCATCTACATTCTTCGCTGTTCATCACATTCATCATTTTAGAATTTTCTTATTATATTCTCTTTCTTTTTTTTTTTTCTAAAGACAATTTGTCTTCCTGATTTTCTAGACGCTACTGGAATGTAGAGAGAAGGTCTGTAGGGCACTTGAAATGGCAGAAGAGCAGTGTGAACTGTCAATGGGAATGTCTGGTGATTTCGAGTTGGCGGTTAGTATTACCTAAACCTCTGTCTCTTGCTTCTATTTCTCTACATGGTTTCTGTCTCTTGCTTCTATTTCTCTACATGGTTTCTAGGGTACTAACTTTGTAATAGCCCAAACCCATCTTTAGCATATATTGTCCTCTTTGCACTTTCCCTTTCGAACTATTCCTCAAGGTTTCTAAAACATGTTTGTTAGAGAGAGGTTTCCACACACTTATAAAGGTGTTCCATTCTCTACCGCAACCAATGTGGGATCTTATAACTGACCCCATACCCCACATTGTGTTTAGTTGGAAAAATTATTTAATGTGGCTGTCATTATCTGGTGAACCATAATTTTTAGTTTTTCTCCTTCATCTAAGGGTATAAAACTACCAAAATTATACTAGCTTCAGTAAATGGGATACTGGAATAAGCTAGCTTAATTGTTGCATCTCTCTAATACATGGTTCTGAACCGAAGGTTAAACATTGTCGTTTTTGTTTATAGCAACAAGACAATATGTCGTGATATGAGTGTAATGTAAGCAAGTTATTGGTTTTTTTAAAAACCAAAATCAATGCCCCAAGTCAATAGATTGATGTAAGAAAATAAAAAATCGATACTAAAACTGATGATTGGAAGTCGAAGTGACTGCCATCGAAAATCTGAACCAACAGAACTGACAAGATCTAGTTGAACCATATAGTCTACATTTTGGGTTATAGTTCTGAAAACTGAACTGACTAACAAGTATACCTCGAATCGATCAAATTAACTCGCAATGTTCCTTAATCTTTTTTTGTGCTTGCACCCGGGTATTAAGAAGGTTGGCAATGGCTACCACAAAGAATTTTGATTTAGTTTGAATTTTTAGAATTGTGTCTAATAGTTTCTTAAATTTTACGATAATTTATCAAATTTTCAACACTGTCGAATATGGTTCTGTTTTATGTTACAGATCGAAATGGGCAGCACCAATGTGAGAATTGGATCCACCATCTTCGGTCCGAGGGACTATGCAAAGAAGCAAGCTGATTAGCATCTATCTTTATTCCTATTCATAGTTGAATTCAACAATATTTTAGTTCTTATTCCACACAGGCAACGAATATGCCTTTCTGATCGATTCTCTGTCTCTTGAAGGGACGGGAATGCATTAAATTAATAATGTAGAAACTGGAGTATCTTCGTCTTTATAAGAGATAAGAACGCATTAAATTAAATATAGAAAAAATGGAGCATCCTTCTTGCTCCTTGCTGCCTAACATTTTTCCTCTGCTTCATTTATTTGGTTTCGCTATAGTGCCTTACTTGATGATGAAGGACTAGCATGAGGGAACATATTATTGTGAACAAGGAATTGACATTATCACCATTGGGGTGAAAGGATTAGTATCATTCGTGTTTGAGTTCGAGTAAGAGGAGACGTTTCTTCGAACGTTGTGGTGAACCTTGTCATGTGGAATTGGAATTCATTAATCGACTAAGAGCTGAACTAATTCTAAAACCATGATAGGTGGAGACGTGCATACAATCATAAGTTAAGAAGATAAATTTCATTATTCGGACTCTCTCGAGCTCAAAATTTTATTGCTTAATTATAAAATTAATATCAACTTCATGCATCCATGTTATAATATGAAGTTTACTCTTTCGAGCTAAAACTTAAATCAAAAGCTTTAATCACGAAACAATCATGTTGCAATTAAAAAATACTATTAACTAAAAAATTATAATCAATGACTTTGGTTTGACTAAAACATACTCGGAATTCAATTACGTCCTACCTGATTATATCAACTAAAAGAAGCTCATACATCATAATTCGAGGCCCTAAGTATTCATATTTCTTTAATGGGAGCCATACTCAACCAATTAGAACAATTCAAGTCGGCTTTAGTATTTTTTGAAGAAAACTTAAAGCAGCTACTTACATGTCAAACGTATTTTGGGGCTCGATTTTCCTACTTCTAGGATTCTGAATGTCACAATTTCTCAAAAAGGTTATAAATTGAGTCAAAATAAAATTATTTTTTTTTATTTTTTTATTTTTTTTATGAAAATAGATTTAAAAAATCCGACTTTAGGTGGTCAAATAGGTAAAAAGACGGTGAAAGGTTAAAATGTTGAACACAAATGTTTTATAGGAAGCATTCATACTCTTTATTAAGAACAATGAAGAGAGATTAAAAGACATTATGTAGGACATTATGTGGCTAGTGATGATTTTTTCACACGCCCACTCAGCACTAAGCCTCATTCATCTTACCGTGTTGTTAACTCTCTTCTATAATAGCTATGTTAGCATAATTAGGATTTGACTTTCGGATTCGTTCTAACCGTCTAAGTTGTTGAGATATCATTTCCTTTTCACTAGATTCATTTTGTTGAGTCACTTCTTATTCACCAGCATCAATGTCACTTGAATCTTCAAGGGATCAATACTTGGCCAAAATGTGTGTAGTTTGCTCTCATGTTTTCTGATGTAGAATTTCTGGATATTGTTCAAAAATTACATCTATTGGGGTGTAGCATCTTTCACTTGTTGGATCATAAAACTTCCACTCTTTTCTTTGATTTTCATATCCAACAAATAAATATTTGACTACTTTCTTGTCAAATCTATGTATAGATGACTATACACAAATATGTAGCAAACACAGCCAAATACTCAGAAGTCGCTAATCGTAGGTTTCATGTCTCATAGTGTCTCAATGGTGAAATGAAACATAACCTTGGCTGGGGGAAGCATGTTAATCACATGGGCAATAGTTCACATAGCTTCAACCCAAAATATTTCTAGAACATTCTTCCGCGTGTAGCATGCTTCAACAAATCTCTACAAGATATCGATTTTTTCTCTCTGCCACACCATTTTGTTGTGGCGTGTTGGCACATGTAGACTGATGATGTATCTCATGTGTAGATATCGATCAAATTCCTCTAATGTATATTCTTTGACATTGTCTGAGCATAGGCAACAAATCTTCATTCATATTTTCCTTAGATCATCGTCTTAAATTCTTGAAATTTGAGAATGTATAAAACTTTTCTTCAATAAAAAAATCTACATATATCTCTAGTAGTTGTCAATGAACGTCACCATGTACTGCATCCCACTGATTGTTATTTGCTTGGTTAGACCGATTACATTAGTGTGATTCAACTCTAATAGTTTCTTTGCTTTGAACTTTGATTCTTTTATGGCAATTGATGAGCTTTGCCATACTAACATCCAACGCAAACAATATCTTATTTGACTTAAAGTTGAGGTAGACCTTTGAGAATGAATTTCTCCATAATCATCTTCAACTTGTGGTAGCCAACATGTCCCAACCTTGCATGCCATAGATCTACTATCTCATTCTTTTGAGTCTTGTCGATATAGATTGACTCTATAGATAGCACATGAACGGACTCCACAATTAGCCCTTTCATCCACGGATTACGACAAAAAGTTACAAGATACTCTGTAGGACGCTACTATACTTTACTTTTCTTGCATGAAAAACTTGGTTGGAGTGGAGGGGTATTTATAGTAGACGCTATGTTAGGATCGCACAACAACGCACACACTCGATCTAGATGAACACAAAGAACAGAATAGAGAAAATTGCAAGAAGAACTCTGGCTAAAAGAGTTTGTATTGATGAGTATGTATAAGAGAGAATACAAAGTAAATTTTCAAAACTCTACCGGATGGGATATATATATAGTTCATAGCTTTACCAGATTTAACCATCTACTATATATAGTTATTTACTATATATAGCTTTACCAGATTTAACCATCTACTATATATAGCTATTTACCATATATAGTTTTACCGGATATAGCTTTACCAAATATAGCTTTACCGGATATAACCGTTGACCAAGCTATAAATAAGAGAGCAGACTCCATAACCTAACAATTCTCCCACTGGAGACTGATCCAGTCAACCAAGAATTTCATTCTCAAACGATCACTACACCATACCAATTAAGTTTTTGCATAACCTTAATTTTCCAACATCAACACATTTTGTCAACATGTCTGCTAGATTCTTTGCACCCTCTATCTTCTCCAAACACATATCGCCTTCTTCCACTAACCTGCGAGTGAAATGATATCGCCTTCTAATGTGTTTTGTCCTTGAATGATAGACTGGATTTTTCACCAATTGTATGGCACTCTGACTATCTGTATAAAGGATCTTCTTGCACTGCTTCCTGCCTAATTCTTCTAGATAGTCTGTCATTCATATCATCTTCTTTCCAGCTTCAGCTATTGCCACGTACTCAGCTTCAATAGATGAAAGAGCAACGCATTTCTGAAGCTTGGACATCCAACTCACTGCTGTTCTATCTATAGTGTAGATATATCCAGATGTGCTCTTGCTAGAGTCTACATCTCCACTCAGATCAACATCCATAAAACCTTGCAGAACTATTTTGCCATTGCCATAATAAAGTGAAGTATTGGATGTACCTCTTAGATATCTCAGAAGTCACTTCACAGCTTCCCAATGTTCTTTCCCTGGATTTGCCATGTACTTGCTAACAACTCCCACTGCATGTGTTATGTTAGGTCTAGTGCAAACCATAGCATACATCAAACTCCCAACTGCAGAAGCGTACGAAATTGATGACATGTGCTCACGTTCTTCAACTGTCTTGGGAGATTGCCCATTTAATATGATTTGCCAAGGGGGTAGTCTTGGGTTTAGTGTCATTCATCTTGAATTTGGACAACATTTTCTCAATGTACTGCTCTTGGGATAGATTTAATGTGCCAGCAGATCTATCTCGAGAAATCCTCATCCCAAGAATCTGCTTCGCTGCACCCAAATCTTTCATCTCAAATACTGAAGACAAGCTTGCCTTCAGGTGGTTTATCTCCCTCATACTTGATCCAGCAATTAGTATATCATCCACATACAGGAGTAGAAACACATAAGAATCAGTGTATTTCTTGAGGTAGCAACACTGATTCTTTTCACTCCTGTGGAAACCACTCTTGCACATGAAGGAGTCAAACTTCTTGTATCATTGTCTCGGTGCTTGTTTCAGTCCATACAAGCTCTTATTGAGCTTACACACCATGTGCTCCTTGCTTGGAGCTGCAAACCCTTCTGGTTGTTGCATATAGATCTCCTGGTCTAGATCTCCATGTAAAAACGCCGTTTTTTACATCCATTTGCTCAAGGTGCAAATTCTCCGATGCAACAATACTCAGCAGAATTCGGATAGTAGTTAATTTCACAACTGGAGAAAAGATCTCAGCATAATCAATGCCTTTTCTTTGTGAATATTCTTTAGCTACTAACCGAGCCTTAAACCTCCTTCTGCCATCTAGTTCAACCTTGATTCTGAACACCCATTTGTTCAACAGAGCTCTCTTTCGTAGGCAACTCAGTCAGCACCCACGTATTATTCTTTTCAAGTGAGCTCATCTCATCATCCATGACTTGCTTCCACTTGGTTGAATCTTCCACTTGTAGGGCCTCATCAAAGGACTCTGATTCTCCTTCGTCAGTCAGCCACAGATAATGTAATGAGGCTAAATATCTATCTGGTGCTCTGATAGTTCTAGATGATCTCCTCAACACCTGCTCAGGTGTAACTTGCTCCACGTCTGGCTCTTCAGCAATAGGATCAGAAGTTTCTTGAGCTTCTGTTGTAACATCACTGCGTGAATTTTCCTGCCACTCAAGTTCAACTCCCACTTGCTTCGTAGTCTCAAAGTTTATCTTCTCTCTATCCTTGTACATGACATTTTCATCAAAGGTCACATCACAGTGTCTTAGGATTTTCATATTTTTCTCATCCCAAAACCTGTACCCGAACATGTAAGAGCCATAGCCTATGAAGTAGCATTTCACAGCCTTAGCATCAAGTGTATCTCTCTTCTCTGGATCAACATGAACATACGCAGTACAACCAAAAGTTCTCAAGTGAGAGTACTTGAGTTTTTTTTCTGTCCATACTTCTTCGGGCAATTTGAACTACAAGGGTACTGACAGCTCTCTATTGATCAAATATGCTGCTGTGTTCACAGCATCAGCCCAGAATGTCTTTTGTAGTCCAGAATGAATTCTCATGCTTCTTGCTCCCTCATTCAATATTCTGTTCATTCTTTCTGCAATACCATTTTGTCTTGCCTTACCGGGAATTGTTCTTATTAATCTAATTCCCTCAGCTGCACAAAATGTTATAAACTCTGATTTGTTGTATTCTTCTCCATTGTCAAACCACAGGCATTTGATCTTAAACCTGGTCTGATT